GCCGTGGGCCCGCCCTCGTCCCGCCGAGGGTCAGGGGCGCAGACCCTGGCGGCGGCGGCTGTGCCAGGGCGAGAAGCGGCCTGGAGCCGAGGCGCGCCCCTCCTACCCCTTCCCCGCAGCCCCTCCTCGCCCTTTCACGCGGTCCCAGCGCGGACCGACCCCAGGGGACAGCCGGGGTCGGGGTGGGGGTAGGGGTGACAGCTCGCGGGTCCCGGTGCCGCGGACCCTTCTCTGACAGCTCTGCCTGGTAGGTGTGAGGACACCCCCTGGAACTCCGGCTTCGCATATCCGAGGGTCGTTATCTGACCTCCCAGTGCCTGAGGGCCCGGGTGCCCGAGTCACCCCTGGGGGGTCTGGGCGCTTCCCCCTTCACCCCACCCCGCAAGGGCCAGCTTCCCCCGCAGGAGCGCGAGCGACAGCGGGCGCCCACGCACGGCCACCCGGAGGGCCCAGCGGAGGCGATCCTCCGGGCGTGCGCCCTACCCGTCGTAGCTCCAGCGGCTGTAGGACAGGGTCGGGTGGCTGCTGACTCCCTCCATCGCCGCGTCCCGGCTCCTCTTCGGGCTCCGCGGGCGGCGGCGGCTGCGCTGGGCTGGGCGCTCGCTCGCTTGCTGCGGGCCTGGCCGGGGCGCGGGCGGAGGACTGTACCATTCACCCCCGGGGGTGACCCCCGCCCCCCTCCGGCTCTGCCAAGGGCGGGGACGCGCAGGCTGCGGGGACTAGGTGTTCTTTGGTGAAATGAGACGTAGTGGGTTGGGACTCCGGAATCAACTGTGACTGTATGAAGCCTTATTTCATTGTCTAGTTAGGGTTGAGGGGTGAGCTTCTCTATCTGGGAGATTGTGGGTCTTCCACATAAACTGCAGGACCAGAAACCACCACTCCTTACCTATATGTTATAAAACAAGTCCCAGGAGTTCTTTCTTCAAAGGATTGACGGAAAGGTAATAGGACCCGAGAAGGGACTCCCTGGAGAAGAGAGGTCCTGCTCCATCCAGCAGCATCACCCCACTCCAATGCATGCCAGCTCAGAGCCAGTGGTCACAGAGGGCTCCTGAGCTATCATTGGGCACTGGCTGCCAGGCTCCGGCAGCCTGCCCTTGGTGAGGCCACTGGAGGTGGTGGTAGTAATAAACACAGATTCTGCCTCACCAGAAAACAAGTTAGTTGGTACAAGACAAGAGTTCCATAGCTATAAGAGCCAGTAGCAGCTGTATTGTGCCCTCAGACCCAGGGCGGGGACGCGCAGGCTGCGGGGACCCGGGCCCACGGGGCCCCCTCCCACGCGCTCGGGTCCCGCGGGGGCGCGGCTGCGGCAGCCTGGACCGCTTATTTATTTATTTCAGATGTGTGCTCCACGTCGCCATGGCAACCGCTCCATCTTTTCCGGCGTCACTAGGGCACCGCTGCTTTCAAACCTTCCCGGGACAGGGACCGCTAAGAGGCTGTTCCTTCTCCTGCTTGCGTGGGAGCCCGGGATACGCTCTCCCTACCCAGCTCCCTTCTGCAGGGATGTTCCCTCCTTTCCAGGGTGGGAGTCTTCATCTGCCCCCAACCTTCCACCGTTAAGGTCCCCCCTTCTCAGGAATGGGAGTACCCATCCCCCTAATTTCCTAGATTCCCGCCGTCTCCCCGCCCTTCTTCCCCAACGTGTAAGTCCCTCTTTAACCACTGTCCCCTCCTTTTTTTTAAACTGCCTCCCTCCGTACCAGACATGGAAATCCACTCCTTCCTCCCCCTTGCCCCACTGGACTCCCTCGGCTTTGCTATCTAGCGTATTGTGGCCTTCTGGGGTTCTGAAGACCAAGCTCTGCAAACGCTCCCATTTCTAGGCCATCTCATTCTGTTATGTCCCGCTGTGCTTTCCCTTCATTACTACTAAAAGTCCTTTGGAAAAAATCCAGCTTTCTTGGCTCAACCAGGGGACAGTGTTTTCTTTGTTTATACCTGGCTGACGGTGACCCAGGGAAGGCTATGGGGAGAAGGGCCGGCCTGGGTGGGGCGGGAGGGGGTAGGCAGAGCCAGCTGGCGCCTTCCTGTCTGCTTGGCTCTTCTTGCCTTTCCCCCACCCTGGGCTGATGGCTTCGGGGATTTACAGGTATAATCTTCTTGCAGAGGTCACAGAAGCCTAAGAAGGACCTTCCAGCTCAGCTGTTGTGGGGAGGCTGTGCCAACTTCTCGCTGGGGTCGGGGTGGGTGCCAATGTTCCCTGGAGGTGGAGTGTGGGTAGGTAGGCTTTGAGCTACACAAATCCAAGGATCGACAGGACCCCTGTGAAACTCGAATTAACCCTGAGGGTTTCAGAGGTTGCAACTGGCAGTGCACCTGTGGTATCCAGCATAGAAATGTGCTTTCTTTGTCCTACACAGTTTTTTCTTTCATTGAATAAATTGACAACACTTAAAAATTGGGAGATTAATAGGTTTAGCTTTCCATCCTCTCTTGGAAACCAAGAAAACCTGGCCACTCTGGGCCTGCCTTCAGCATGGCAGGAATAGAGCAGAAAAATGGCTGTTCTTCATACTGGGAGAAGGGAGTGTGTTACGTGTTGTTCTCCTGTTAGCCTTGGGCCCCAGCCAGCCAGCTTTTCTCATTTACCTTTTCTCGCTTTTCTCACTTAAATTGCATGGTCCCTACAGCTTTTGAGTTTGCAATCTATGTGCATTGAGTCATCTCTGTAACCACTGCAGTTTCCCAGCTGGCCCTCAGAGCTGCCCAAATGCACCATTAACCAATATTTACCAAGGGCCAGGTAAGTAGCAAAATGCTGTATATACCAGACACTGTTACTGCTCCTTGTGGGGTTTACAGACCAACAGACAAGGATGGACTCCCAAACAGAACCACTGTTTTTGAACCACATCTCAATGGTGACATTCTTGGCATACTCATGACCTCGGGAGTAGTGGGTTGGGACTCCGGAATCAACTGTGACTGTATGAAGCCTTATTTCATTGTCTAGTTAGGGTTGAGGGGTGAGCTTCTCTATCTGGGAGATTGTGGGTCTTCCACATAAACTGCAGGACCAGAAACCACCACTCCTTACCTATATGTTATAAAACAAGTCCCAGGAGTTCTTTCTTCAAAGGATTGACGGAAAGGTAATAGGACCCGAGAAGGGACTCCCTGGAGAAGAGAGGTCCTGCTCCATCCAGCAGCATCACCCCACTCCAATGCATGCCAGCTCAGAGCCAGTGGTCACAGAGGGCTCCTGAGCTATCATTGGGCACTGGCTGCCAGGCTCCGGCAGCCTGCCCTTGGTGAGGCCACTGGAGGTGGTGGTAGTAATAAACACAGATTCTGCCTCACCAGAAAACAAGTTAGTTGGTACAAGACAAGAGTTCCATAGCTATAAGAGCCAGTAGCAGCTGTATTGTGCCCTCAGACCCCCACCTCCAAATCCTGACACCCTGGGAAGTTCAAACAAGAAACTCAAGGCCAGTTGTCCTGAACCAAGGCTGAAAGCTGAAGAGAAGCTGCACCCCAGACATTCCTAGAGGAACTCTGGGCTAGGCAGATGGAAGAGCCCAATACAGCCACAGAGAAAGGATACTCGAACTTTATTGATGCCAGGAGCTGTGTGTCAGCATTTTGTAGGAGGGGACGTGTGGCAGTTTTAAAGCATGGCCACAAAAACTTTAGCATTTCTCTCATTGAGAAGTAAGGTCTGTGTTACCTCCCCTTGGATCTGGATGCTATGTCATTTTTGAGGTTCAGTAATAAAGGCCCTCCAGTATCCTCTTGTTCACCAGAGCCCTGAGCCACCATATTAGAAGTCTGACTACTGTGAGGCTGTCATGCTATGAAGAAACCCAAGCTAGGAGGAAAGTTATGTGTAGGTGCTTTTTTAAAAAAAGATGACTGGTAAGGGAATCTTAACCTTTGACTTGATGTTGTCAGCACCACGCTCTCCCAAGTGAGCTATCTGGACATCCCTATATAGGGATCCAAACCCTTGGCCTTGGTGTTATCAGCACCACACTCGCCCAAGTGAGCCACAGGCCGGCCCTATGTGTAGGTGCTTTGATTGACAGCCTCAGCTGAGCCCAGCCGTCAAGTCATCCCCACGAGGCACCAGATGTATGAGTGAAGAAGCCTGCCGATGATTATAGCCTCTAGTCCTTCAAGTCATCCCCAGCTGCCTGAGTCTTCCCAGCTGAGCCCCAGACATCACAGAAGAGAGACAAGTCCTCCTTGTCGGCCCTAACCTGACCCAGAGAGTCAGTGAGCATTATGAAATGGTGGTTGTTTTATACCTTAGATAAATAGGCAGGCAGAATTAATCTCAAGGAAGCTGGTTCTTTCTCCTTGAAAGCTGATTAGTGGGCCTTTTGGTTATGACAGGAAGGGTCGCAGTTAGTCTGCACAGAAGAGCTACAACAAGGGAACTGGACTGCTTGGCATGGTAAATTAACTGGAGTTTTGGAGTTGTTCTATGGTAGCTAAATGTTGAATGGTAGTGAGAAGGCTGGAACTGGGAGAAGAGAGAATACAGAAGAAATGCTTAGGTAGGAAGAGACAGTGAACTAGCAGAAGGCTAGAGTCTAAGAAGAAAAGTAACTGGTAAAAAAGTTCCTGGGGCAGGGATGGCCAAGCATCTGGAGAGTGAAGATGTCTAACTGGTTCCTGCTCTTCGGTGCTGCTCTAGTATCTGCATGCCTTCAGTAAAATCTGATATGGATACACTATCACCTTCTATGACTTATGCTTTGGGGAATACAGAAGGTGGGTCACTGTCCCCACGTGGGACAAAGTGAAGTAGGAGGACAGCAGCCCTAGAAATTTGTTGGACATTGAGAATTAAGTTAGGAGCAAGAACGCAAAGGCAAAAGAGACCAGGAGAGCCCCTTCCTGGACATCCTTGGGTATATTAGTGAGGGTACTAGACTTTCGCAGATATAAGGAGAGAGGCTAGAGAGAGGCTATTTGGATTTTAAAGGAAAATGTAGCCTTAATGGCTGGAGAGCTTGGGGCTATCTGTGAAGATGTATGACCAGTGGTCCTGGAACTAAGAGCCTGGCTACCCTACAATAAGGTGGAATCCCTCAGTCTGCCAAGGCCCAACTGTCTAGCAAGTTTCTGGGACAGCAAACAAGCAATGGAGAAACCCAAAACCAGGACCTAAGATCAAGAGTTCACCATGGCAAAATGAGGAACAGGGACCTGGGAGTCTATGTCCCCGGAGAATAAAACCTGGAAGGAAAGATCCTCTGGTGCAGCAGAAATGGGCAATTGTAAATGGAAACCACCACCTATATTAAAATAAGGTCCATACTCTACAGAGTAAAACTCTGGAAAAAAATACTGCAGGCTATAACCAAGTGCACTCTGCACCGTGTCCCTAAGGTTCACCTTTTCCTTTTAGTTTCCTCTTCCACTGCTACTGCCATGTTTTACCCTGAGAGGCAGTGCTCCCCCTTTAACACTCTGGACCTGACGGACACAACCCCTGTATCCCCTTAGTGCAGCTAGGAAGAACTAAACCTTAAAGATTTCATTAATTTTAAAGGAAAGCCATCAGGAAAATAAACAAAGCCATCACATGAAA